CCCCAAAACCCCAAAACCCCGAACTTCTAAAACTTCTAAGAATTGGAATATTTATAAATATATTAAAAATAATAACTTTTTACCAGAAATACTTAGAATAGAAGAAAATGATCAACTAAGGAATATCGAATTTAGAGTACCAATATTTAGAAGATAAAATAAATTAGGGTTAATCTTTGGATAATCAAATACAGATTGAAAACAAATCAAATTCTCAAATTAGCGCAGTCACTATGAATTCTTAAAATTTATATCCTTTCTACTAAGAAAACAAGAATGATGTAGTTTGGAAAATAATGTCAAAATATCTAATCATTGAAATCTTTTCCTTTAGAGGTTAAAGATAAAATAATACGAGTATCATGTTTGAAATATCAAGAGATTATAGAAAAATGCTTATTCAACACTACAGTGCAATTAAAAATATAATGAAGCAAGGAATCAATTAAAAACTTAATCTTGATTTTAAGTTTGCTTCAGACATAAAGCTTGAAAATTTGTAAATTTTAAAGTAAAAGGCACAATTACTCAATATTGATTTGAAAGTGAACAACATTATGATTTTAAACTCAATCAGTAAGTATATTAAAGATAATTCAAGCATCCAAATCAGATCCTTGATATTAGAGCAGGATTAAAATGAAATTTCCGAATAAAACAATAGATACTTTGACAATCATGTCCTAAGATTCATAAAAACATAGAATGTCTTCAAATTTAAAATCAAAAGTGATATTTATGATCTGCAAAAGATTTTTGACCTTCTTAATAAATAGAATTCTATTAAATGCTTGAGCTTTGATTTCAAAACAATTAATTAACAGAAAAAATAGGTACTAATTAATAATCAAGAATTTGAAGAAGGAAAACATTTAGACTATAGTCATTAAAGCATCGAATAAACAAATATTAAAGATAAAAACAAAATTTAATAGTTAAAATAAGTATATGGAAGCTTACCAAATTCTATAACTTATTTGAAGATTATAAATTTGAACTAGCAAAATATACCATTTTTAGAGACACTTTTGGAAGATAACAAAAAAAGACTTAGCATAAGCTTTAAGAATTGTGGTTTTTCTGAGATTTAGAGTTGTTAATACATTCTAAGTAAATTATCAATCAACGTATTAAAAATCTACTATTCAAAATCCAAAAATATTGATATGCATGAAAATGATAAAATTGGTTAAATCTAATTTGGAAGGAATGATAGCTTCTAAGAATAAAATTTTCCATTTGTTGAAGATTTAGTACAAACAATTTAACTATAAGATCTTAACTATCGTGCTTTAAAGATGAATCTTATAAAATTTAAGTATAATTAAGACTGCTCTGTGGTGATATAATTGCTAAGGTATCTTAGGATAGATTTTTCAAGAAACAAATTCACGCAAATTCAATTGAATTAGAGTATAATTTAAGAAGGTGAAAATGAAACAAATATTAGCAAAATCTTAAAAGAATTCAACATCAAAAACATTGAAATAGAATAGTTTTACCAAATAGATGCAATCGAATAAAACAATAATTTATTAATGAATGGGGACTATGCAATTGATGAAGACATAGAATCTGTAATTTAAATGATTGGCAGACCCATTAATGAGCGACTAAGCTTAGTAAATCTATTGAAACTGAGAGTACTTGATCTGAAAGATGTTAGTACCGGTTTTCTACATCAATTTCCAAGACTATAGCATTTTTCATTTAAAAACTAAGTGAGTAAAGAAGAATTCATAATTCTTTTGCATTCACTGAACTAATCTTAATTGAAAGAAATAGAGTTTAACTATTTTAGATCCTATGATGAAATAGATTAGACTTTGGAAGATGATCTCGAGATACAGATTCTGTTTAAAATTCAAGATTTCAATAAATTAGAGAGCATATCATGCAACTTTATTGAACCGTATGAAATAAGTGATGGGAAAGTTTATTCAGTTACAAATGATATTAAGAAATTCTTTGCTTTGGATCTACCTAACCTTAAAAATTTGGAATTAAACTTCATTCCTTCAAATTAGTTTGAAAATTTATTGGAATAGTTTTCAAAAAACAAGCCAGTATAATAATAAAGATAGCGCAGAATTAGAAGAAATAGAATGAATAATTTACAATCAGTCATGGATTCAAAAATATACAAGTACATAAGATTAGAAGTGAATTAAGAATAAAGATCTTTAGAGGCTTAATAAAAGGATATATTCGTTGATTTTAAAAAGGTGCTTAAGTATTTGAATTAAACAAAGTTGCCTAAAACACTAGCTATAAAAGGCATTGAAGTATTGATTAATGATGAAATCATTGAAGATTTAGCATAAATTGACAATCATCTGATTAAATACACAACGAATAAGCAGGATTTTAAAACTCTTTATGATTACATGAAGTAGATATAGTTTAGATTTTGATTGAGGATTTAATCTTAATAGGATGCTATTAATTATCTATTCATTTATGATTATGAAATTATTTTTAATGAATAAACTTAATTTAATAAACATCTCAAATTTACAATCTCAATTATGGGGTTTTGGGGTTTTGGGG